ACATTTCTGGTTACGATTAATACAGGATCTAAACTTAACCTAAAAATAACCATTAAGTTAAACACAGAACCTAAAACGTTTCTGGCTACGATTAATCGTTTCGATTAATATTCGAAAGCTTGACTTTCAAACCTAAAACATAGGACCTAAACCTAACCATAACCTAAAAATAACCATTAGGCTGAGGTTAGAACCTAAAACATTCCTGGCTACGATTAATACAGGATCTAAACTTAACCTAAAAATAACCATTAAGTTAAACATTTCTGGCTACGATTAATACAGGATGTAAACTTAACCTAAAAATAACCATTAAGTTAAACACAGAACCTAAAACGTTTCTGGCTACGATTAATCGTTTCGATTAATATTCGAAAGCTTGCCCTTCAAATCTAAAACACAGGACCTAAACCTAACCTAAAAGTAACTATTAGGCTGAGCATAGAACCTAAAACATTTCTGGCTACGATTAATCGTTTCGATTAATACTTCATCTTCCAGTCTTAGCTTATAGTGTACTGATTGTGACTAGGTGTGAAATTGGCCAATGACGCGTTCGCGGATTCACGAACCGAATTGGATCAATCGATCACACGTGCCTTACCGTTAGTCTCTTGTCTGGATCGACCTCGATCATCCCCTTGAGCAGATTCTGACACTCGGGCGGCACAAAGTGCGGTATATAGAACACGCCTCGTTTCACTTTCTCCAACAATTTCCTCAGGTTGTCGTCGTCGAAGGGCAACGCGCCTACCAGAAGCGCGTAAAGTATCACGCCGCACGACCAAACGTCCGCCTTCCTTCCGTCGTATTTCTCACCCTGCAAAAAAAAAAAAAAAAAAAAAAAAAAAAGAAAAAAATACGCGCGCGGTTAGTTAGTCCGCCAGTTTTCTACCCTTTTAATTGAATCAGCCGAGAGCAACCGAGGCATATCCGGTTAAAACTGGCGAGAAATAATAATTCGTCTCGATGGTGGTGGTGTGTGAGGGTGAGTTTTCTCGAGGGAAGGGGCAAGCAAGCCTTGAGAATGTCGAGAAAAGTCGGTACGCGGCAGATACTGATCGTTCGCTTGTCTTCTAAACGGCGGACGTGTCTCAAATCTGTTCAACTTGAAGGGAGTTCGAAACGAACGTTCGAAGGGTCGAGATTAGAGGCTGGAGACTTACTCGAATCACCTCGGGACAGGCGTAATGAGGAGAGCCGCAGCTGGTTTCTAGCATGGAGCCGGCAGGTTGCAGCGACGCCATCCCGAAGTCCGCTATCTTAATGTTATTTTTCTCGTCCAACAACAAATTCTCAGGCTTCAAGTCTCTGTGACTGGAAATAGAGAAACGCGAAGTCCGGTTTTACGTCGCTCGTCGCTTGAGTCACTTTAAAAAAAGAACACAGTGGCCCGCGTGTAGTAAGACTCGACTGATTTGAATATCGGATCGATCGAGGGGCCAATCGTTGCGCACTGTTGTCCCGCGTGAAATTAGGTCCGTTTCTAAATTTAAATTCGATCATTGGGGTAGGTTTCTCCGAGGGTAGCGAAAACTTTACCAACCCCTCTGTCGCGCGGCTCGTTTTTTCTCCCGCGCTATTCGTTGTCGAGGAAATTTCGCTCAGTTCGTTGCTCAATTTTTCGATAATCGACCGACTAGAAATCTCACACGGAATTTGCTTTTGTTTTCTCTGCTGCTTTCCGTCGATCAAATTTCCCCTACGTACTTGACCACGCATTTTTCGAAATGTTGCAACGCGTTGTATGTTCTGATAGGAGGAACTTTTATACTACTCACCATATACTATGGCTATGACAAAAATCTAACGCAGAAATGATTTGTCGAAAAAATCTCCTCGCTTCCTTCGGCGTCAGTCGACCCTTCTTCACTAAATAATCGAAAAGCTCCCCGCCCGATACGTGTTCCAGGACAAGATACCTGAAACGAACAAGCGCAATTCAGTACGTCCGGACTTTTTTTTCTTTTTTGCCAGCGTGCATTCTCTTCTCTGCCACTGTGAGTGATGGGTCCCGTGAGTAAGAACACTTTTGTCTAGCGCGTGGATTTCGTTGTTTTCTCACTCTCTCTTGCTCTCCGTCTTCCCTCTCCGAGAACCTTTTTTTCTTTTTTTCGAACGGTCGAATTAAAGTTCAACGACATCTCGAGCTTGATGAAACTCGAGTTTCACTCGTTCGAATCAGAGAAATTCACGGAAAATTCTCTCTACTTTCTTCGCCCCTCTCTCTCTCTCTGTTCTATATACTCACAGATATTTCTTGTTTTCGTACACATCTGAGAGGCCGAGAACGTGAGGATGGTCGATCAGTTTCATAATCGCGATCTCCCGTTCCACTTTCATCAGCACGGACTCGGACAGCTTTTCCCTGTTGATGATTTTGATCGCCACCTTCTTGCCCAACACGCAGTGGACCCCAAGCTTGACCAGTCCTGAAGCATACGTGTGTTTGCGATTAGCTTTTTCCACCGAGTCGTGGATTTTTAGGCATTCGATACAATTTTGTCCGATGTTTCGACTAATTCGTGCCTTTGTGACAATTAAAACAAATATTTATGTCCGCTAGAATGGTGGAAAATCGGGAAAAAAGGATCCAAGATTGATAAAATTTGCTAAAAGATACGATAACTGCA